CTTAAATTAAATTATAACAAAACTACAAGAGCCAAAATATGATCTTGTACATATCCCTTATGAATTCAGAGATATCTCAAAAATAGATTTGATACATTAGATACTAAAGACCAAAGACCATTAGAGTTGTGCGATGATATCAAGAATATCATACAGGAAGAAAGCAAAAGATCATTAAGAAGACAAGAAAGAAGAAAAAAAACAAAACAAAATTGATGTCATAAGAGACTCTGAAACTTGCTTTCCAGTGTAAAGATGGAAGAAATGAGGTTAAACAACTGAACAGAAAATTTCAAAGAGCATCTTGAAAAGACAAAGTCAAATTATAATGAAATGTGCCAAGATTTAGAAAACCAAAAAGGAAGAACACATTCAGCATTTCTCAAGTTGAAAGAACTGGAAAAAAAAAAAATTCAAGTCTTGACTTGCAATATGAAAGAATTCTACGGGAAAAATAAAGCACCGATAAACATCTTTCTGGTTGTCTTTGCTTCAGCCAAGATCCATCTGATGTCAGAAGTAATAGCTCTTGTTCCACGTCCTCATTTCATGGTGCAGGACCAGACAGTGCTTTGTTCTCTCATGCATAAGTTCACTATGAGTCAGAACTAACTCAACAGCAACTAACAACAACAATAATATGCAAAATATTGAATGGTGCAGAAAACATCAAAAAATAAGGAAAAAATACAGTTATTGTACCAAGAAAAAAAAATAGTCAATGTTGAACCATTCCAAGAAATAGTACATGACCAAGAGTCCATTCCAAAGAGAGGTGACATGATGGAATGCTGAAATCATTGGACAATATTATGAATATCATTTGCAAGTAAAATTTCCTAATGATAATACAAAACCAGCTGCAACAGTACATTGACAGGGAGCTTCCAAGGGTTCAAGCCAGATTCTGATGATGAAGTGGAATAAGGGATATCACTGCCAACATAGGATGGATATAGGCTGAAAGCAGAGAATATCACAAAGATGTTTACCTTTGCTTAATGACTATGCAAAGGCTTTCACCTGGCTCATGACTAGCTATGGATAACATTACAAAGAATAAGTATCACAGAACACTTAACTGTCCTATTAAGTAAGCTGTACATAGACCTAGAGGTAGTCATTCAAACAGAACAAGGGGAAACTCAATGTTTAAAAATTAGGAAAGATGTGTGGTAGGATTATATTCTTTTTTCATACTTATCCAATCTTTATGTTGAGCAAATAATCCAACAAACTGGATTATTGAAGAAGAACATGGCATCAGGATTGGAGGAAGACTCAATAGCAACCTGCTATATGCAGATGATTTGACCCTGCTTGCTGAAAATGATGAGGACTTACTGATGAAGATCAACTACCACAGCCTTCAGTATGGGTTGCACCTCAATGTAAATAAGACAAAAATCCTCACCACTGGAACAATAAAAAACATCATGATAAAAAGACAAAAGATCGATGTTGTGAAAGATTTCATTTTGTTGGGTTCACTATTAACACTTCTGGAAGCAGCAGTGAAGCTATCAAACAACGTATTGCATTAGGCACAAGACCCATTTAAAGTGTTCAA